ACTGTTAAGATGGTTAACACAAAGACAGGGTCTTTATCTCTTTTTTTCTCACCCAGCATGTACATTTTTAGTGTTAAATGGAGGCCTTTTTATCACTGGCAATTCTTTTACCCCTATTTTATGTGCAGTCAGACATAAACTCATAACCACATAACCTCTGATGATGTGATAGTGGGAAAAAAAACAGCTTTTTGTGTGGATATTGGATTCAAGAGGAACAAAGTAAGCTACAACTTACTATTTAATATTTGTTTCCTTACTACCTTTCAGTTTCAAATCATGCAGGTCTGATGTCAGATTTGCTGGTGAAAGGCTAACCCAAGTATGGTTGAAATATTAAAAAAGTTAGAGTTTTTTGTTGAAAAGGGAAACAGACTCCAAGTTACAAACTATGAAGAGGTAGTTTTTAATTGCATGTTGGTATATTAAAAAGAGGACATTTCTATGGTTTGTCTTCCTGTATTTTTTATATCCCACTAACTTTCACAGACAGAAAACATTACTCATTGTCATTTCCCCCCCAAAATCTTTCATTGGGTACATAAATTAATAACAACTCCTCATAACTTTAATGAGTCCTATCAGATTGTATATATTTCTTGTTATCCACACCTTCAGTTTCCAGGCAACCCAGTTCTTATGAACTTGAGCAGGATGTTACCTTAAACTTCAGAGTCCTTCTTTTTGTTTCATGGCCAGACTTGTCTTTTCTTTAGTCTGCAACACTAATTAATAAAGAAATGAATGCTTTAAAGGTTTCTTTTTCTTTAGTGGAGAAAGTTAAGTCTGCGCTCTCTCTTTAGGTAAATCTCCTCTTTGTATTCTTGTAAGGAAAACATTAGCCATCAGACAGATGAAAAAATCCACCACTTGAATTAACAAAGAACAGTTGTCAGAGCACAGAGAAAATGAAACACTTCTTTTTCAAGTCAAAGATCATGAACAGACATCACAAACAGCTGCTTTTCAGCTTGGCCAAACACATGTTGCTGGTCTGTGTTGAATGTTTGGCCCGTTAAAAAAAGCACAAATTCCCTGTTAAAGAATCATCTCAAGATTGCTCTTTGTCCTTGTTTTGAGTTGTTTCGTTTCATGCTGGTGTGAGGGGGAAATCAAAGCTGAGTGCTCTGCTCCCGATGCAGTGATCGTTGTTTTCATAGAGACCCTCCTTTGATGCCGTAATGAGCCCAGTGTGGTGGGTTATTATCATCCAGCAAGACAGCGGATGAAGAAAGATAGATTGAGGGACAGAGAGAGAAAAGAGATATGGAGGGGAGGGAGAGAAAGCAAGACAGTGGGTGGTAAGTTTGAAGTTGTTTGTTTCAACTCTGGAGCAGTAATTTTGGCCGATCTGGGAAGACGAGCAAAATGCAACTCTAACTTGTAATTGTTGCCCACAGTTTGGATCAAGTCTGTTTTGTTCGAGCTAAGATGCATAACAAAACAATGTATAGATTAATCTGTTTATTATCACAGAAAGTCTGATGAACAAGATAAGACCAAACTCAAATCAGAGTGCACAGGGCACAGGTCTCCATCTCTTTACTTTAGAAACAGATAGTAGGATTCTTAGTAGGAGCTACATGTTGCCGACTGCTTACTCCTCTAGTTATACCAACTTTAGTACACAATAGCAATACACAGCAGTCTACATCTCCATGCGCAAACCTCAACCAAAAAGCCACGCTATAGCCACAAATAATGGTCAGAACAGCACCTAACTTCATCAACAGTACATATAGGGTCACAGCACCTAGTACTAGCCATCAAACATCTTTTTAGCTTTGCCTGGTTTCTTTAGCAAAGAGACTGAACAAAACTCACCCATCACAACTCAGCCCTGACGAGTTGATCAGTGGAGTTTGGCAGCTCAAGGAAGAACATTTATGATTATTACTTCATGGAAATGCAATCAGACCAAGACGCTAAGGCAGAAGAACTACCGAGTTTGCAGCACAAAATGGTTATTATGATGATTATGATGAAATGATCCGCTGCACTCGGTGATGGACTCATCGGCAACATTCATCTCTCGAGGAAGTGTCTAACTCAGTGTTATGGTGTGTTTGACCATAATTTAAATTTACGCCGGAATATCCCTTTAAGGCTGGGCACACAACTGCTGAATTATCTAACAGACATTTAAAGATGTCTTGCTGTGGTTTTCATCAAATATAAGTCAGGCTGTGCAAAGTTTGTTTGGTAATACTAGAGACAGTTGTATGTAGGCTGAAGATGGGTACAGTGGCTCATTGACAGGCAGTGGTTTCCTTTATTAACAGCAAACCTGTCTGAGTGTGTGTAGCTGAGTGAGACGGGGCTGAAATTGTAAATATATACAGTATATCACAAATATCCAATGCAGGCAAAGCTGTGTACAGAACAGGCACCAAAGATGTCACATCAGTGTCAATTGCACAGCTTCAGCTCCCTCTCACATATATTCATGTGCCAGACTTGCCAGAATTGAGGAGTTTGTGTGTAATCCTGCACTAAAGCTCAGGCTCTGATATATGAGTTTATTTTTTTTTCAAGTCCTAGTTTTCGTTGTGTTTCATGGTGTGAACAGCAATGTAAACTTTATATAGCTCAGATGAAAGAAAACGCAGGTTCGGGGTGAAAATCTTTTAGCACCAGTGGAGCGTGATGATCCCAGCCAGCATTAAGAAGAGAAATAGAGAAGAGATAAGAGAGAACGAGAGTTGACACTTGGGAGAGATAGAAAGTAGGAGAGAGACAGATGTCGTGATTTAGAGAGAAACAGAGGGAGGGAAAGATGGAGGCTGCAACAACTGTGTCCTCAAATCAGGCCCCAGCAGCTCTGTGACATATAGCTCTGCAGTTGAAAAGAAGTGGGCATGATTCGTGGAGCTGCAGTGTTAATGCAGCTGTAGAGGACATCACGGCTTCCACTGATGCTTAAACAACTTATCTTACAGTGACCAGAAAAGAGATTCAGGCCAGATCAACCTTCTGCATTAAAAACACTCGAATGACTCTGATTCTGTTACATCAACTTCAAAACTCTCTCTATATGTTTGTTTCAAGAGAGACATCCGGGTGTGTATTTCTACCAGGCTTTCAGACAAAGAACCTTGCAGTAGTATGACGTCAGTTTTGCCATCTCTTTTGTCTGGGATTTCAAGGATCGATTAAGTGTCACACTTCTGCATCAACACAACAAGTAAAACCATCTGTTGATAGAAACTTGTTGATCTCAGGATTGTTGTGCATCACTCTGACTTTGTACAGAAACAATAATTTAGTGCTGCACCTAGATTATTTTTCTATCGATTAATCTACCGATTATTTTTTCAATTAGTCGACTAATCTATGGACTAATTTATCGATTATTCTAACGATTATTTTTTATCAACTGATTAATATAACATGAATTAAACCAAAATAGCAAGTAAAAACTTGTCCTATTAGTATTTAATTCAATGATTTGGTCAAGAATCTCTTGAAATCAAACAAAACAAAACATTTGGATCCGGGAGATTTTTGCTGCACCCGCCAGGCAGTTTTGGGCTTATCTTGTATGGTGTATATGAGCCAATCATGAGAGTAGTTGTAATTAAATTGCTCATCCAAATAAGTATAAGTGAAGCTGCACACTTTTTTGTTTTGATTTAACAATAACAAATGGCAATAAATAAATAAATAAATAATAGCTACAATATGACCTGAACTATAGTCCAATAATATTAGTGTTAAAGTCTTCATATGTTTTACTTGCTCTCTCAATGTCAACGTCAACGTCAATGTCAGCTTCATTTATATATTTCCTGTATGAGTCTCTCTGAACATCTATGTTTGAAATACAGCACTCTTTTATCTGAGGCTGCCCTGAACGCATCACTCGGAGATGGTTCAAGACTATTAACGTAAATATTATGGGCTCTATTTTCGTGTCTGCCGGCGACGTGGGAGAGGGTGGCGGACCCCGCGCAGTGGTATTTTCGTCTGGCGGAGCATGGTGTACAGCCAGTTTTGTATTTTCGTGGACCAAGGCGCACCGAGGTCCGCCAAGCTGGGCGTGGTGGCGTGGCAGGTGGAGTTGTCCACAGAATCAGCTGGCGCAGTGACATTTTTGTGCTCGCCACCACTGGCGTGTAAGGTGCGCTGAAAGCTCGCCAATTCAAACTTGGTCAGCTTTCAGTGCAGGCGGAGTGCAGCTGGTCTAGTAGTATTTTGGTAGACCGGCGGCGTATCGGCATACGTCACCAATGCCTCACAGGCAGGTTTCCACAGTGTCAGGCACATTTCAGTGCAATAAATAATCAACAACAACCAATATTCTGACTCAGCACATACATTTAGATCTATATTGATATATTCTGATCTATATCTGATCTGATGAGCGCGTTTGGCACGCGTTTGGACACTCAACCTGACCGAATCAACACAGCTGAAACCGCATTAAATTAAATTAAATATCTAGTAAATAAACACACATGATGAAGAGAACAAGATATGTAATTCGTCTTCTTTTTCTATCTTCCTCTTCCTCTTATTTCTCGCGCAGCCTGGGCATGTCGACCTGGACGTGTCTCTGTGTCCTCTCCCCGTCCTGCTGCAGCGGCTGAAGAGATGATCTGTTTCAGGGAGCAGGGGCCTTATGTATCAATGCTTGCGGCGCAAGAAAACCTTGCGTACGCCAAAATCGGCGCACACGTCCAGATTTATCATCGCGAAACGAGCGTCGGTTCCAGCGCTAATCAACGCAACGTCATGAGGTGGTGTAGAAATTGGCGTTGAGCTGATATTTGCGTTGACTGTGATTCGCACTTTGGCGAAGCTGTGTGGCGGTGTTTGGTGACTCACTATGTGACAAGCGTCCACACATTGCAGTGGATTAATTGTTAATCCGACAGCTGTTTGTGTGTTAATTGTGTTAATTTGTAACACATTAACACAAACACGAACACCTGTCGGTATTACTGGAGGGGCTATAAAAGAGCGCATACAACTACACATAGAGAAGACAACATTCAACAATGGCAGCACTTGCGCTGATCGACGATCTACATAACCGTGCCATCCGATGTGAGCGTCATTTTATGGAGCGGGAGGACCTGCTCCAGAACAGCGACGAATGGCTCATGAGCCGGTTCCGGCTACCGCGGGCCATCCTCCTGGAGCTGTGCGAGGAGCTCCGGCCAGCGCTGGAGCGATCAACGGCCAGAAGCCGAGCGGTGCCCGTGCCAACGCTGGTGCTGCGCACACTCGGCTTCTTGGCCACAGGATCCTTCCAGCGGGAGATGGCGGACCGTGCTGGGGTGAGCCAGTCCACCATCAGCCGGGCCATGCCTACGGTGGTGGACCAGCTGATCCGCCTCTCTAACAGGTATATTAAATTCCCCTACGGTGCGGTTGAACAGGCCAATATTAAAACGCAATTTGCAGCAATAGCCGGATTCCCAAACGTAATCGGAGCTATTGACTGCACTCATGTTGCCATAAAAGCGCCGTCCCATGACGAGTACGCTTACGTCAGCTGAAAAGGCGTTCACTCCATCAATGTGCAGATCATCTGTGATGCACAGATGAATATGCTCAACATTGTTGCGAGGTGGCCCGGTTCAACGCACGACTCGCACATCATGTACAACAGCACTGTTGGGGAGAGGCTCCAGGCAGGTGCAGTTACAGACGGGTGGCTGCTGGGTGAGTAAATATGTAATGATATAATGTTATTCAAGAAACTTGACGTGCATCAGTGACTTGAACTAAATGTGTGCAACGCTGATGTATTTTACTCTGTGTTTGATTGCGAGTACTCGGTGGATGTTGTGGGTTATTGATTGCTTATTGCTTGCTATTATTACAACGCATCAAGCCCAAGACTTAACACACTGTGCTTTTTCTGAAGGTGACAGTGGCTACCCCCTCAGGACCTGGCTGATGACCCCTCTCCACAACCCCCACACTGACCGAGAGCGGAGGTACAACCATCTCCACTCTCGCTCTCGGTCAGTGGTGGAGAGGGCCATCGGCCAGTTAAAGGGTCGGTGGCGCTGTCTGGACCGGAGTGGCGGCGTGCTTCTGTATCGTCCGGAAAACGTGTGCCGCATTGTGATGGCGTGTGGCGTCCTTCCCAATGTGACACACCTGCACCACATCCCCATGGCTGAGCAGCACGTCGCCCCAAATGATGATCCAGCAGCAGACGGAGGGATGCGAGCTGATCCCTGCCGGGCCGCCGTCCTCGCGCGGTAGAATCTCATCGCCACAATGTGAATGGGTAAGAAGTGAATACACAGTTTAATGAGCCAAATTATTTTATTTTGTCCACCAGACGCTCGAGGACATTGACGAGGCGGTCCAGCTGCTCGTTGATCCCCGCGATCCCCCTAATTATTTGTTCCTGTGATTGCAGGACCGCCCCGTGAGGACCCTTCCACTGCGTCCGCAGGGTGGTCCAGCGGAAGCGCTGCGGCTGGTGGAAGCTCCATCGCTTGTCGGCGCGCTGGTGCTAGTGCTGGGGCCGGGGGCGGCCCGAATGCCGCTGGTCCTGGCCAACGACTCCGAGCCGGCGGACGGGCTGCCGCGGGCCGGGGTTCCACAAGCCGGCGACACGGCCGACACATTGATTTCTGTGACACAATGAAAATATTTGTTCATTTCAATTCCTGCTTCTGTGTATCTGTTGCGTCTACATCTATGGCAAAGCATGTGGACATTTGTGTGACACGCTACTTACCCTCCGGCAGGCTGTCTGAGTCGCCGTGGGTAGCGGCGACAATCCCCCCCACAGAGGCGCCCCCCATAAATGCCACCACCCGCTGCTCAAACGGCGTGAGGGTCTCCTCCCCCGGACCCCCACCTGTCTGGCCGGTACTCCTCCGGAGGGCAGCTGTACGCCGCTTGAACTCCACCTTGAGGTCCGACCACTTTTTTTTAATCTCCGCGGGGCAGCGTGTCTCTAAACCCACCGCGTTCACCCTCTGACAAACTTTCTCCCACTCCAAGCGTTTTCGTTTTGCACTGACGCCACTGGACAGGCTGCCAAACAAAACACGCTGTCGCTCCTCCACCTCCGCCACCAGCACCTCCACCTCGCACGCCGTAAATTTAGGTTTTCTTGTCATTTTGTCTGCGTGCGAGGACAGGGAGACCCTATTTAAATAAATCTGCATATTTATAGGAGGGCGTAACAGGGGCTGGCCCAGTCACTCCGACATCTGCGCTCAATTCCACGCTGATTGGGATTTATCAAGGAAACACACGTGGATTTCGACAGATTTTTTTCAGGGTGACGGACCTTGCGTGCGCTCGTTTCTGGTATGAGTTCCACTCAAGTATTGATACATAAGGCCCTAGATGAGTTATTTACTTTAAGCCTACATACGAATATTATAATGTTCAGTTTGGTGACCCAAATTTATTTTATATGCCAACATCTATGAAAGAAAGAGCCAGGCCACGGAGCGCGATGCATCATTTATGCACAGATGGTTCCGATTTTAATGCCATTTTTGGAGTTTATGTTGTGATCTGTGCGCACAACCCACCTTTGTCAGGTGAGGTTTGAATATGTGCAACTTTATGTGAGTGTCTCTATTTGTGGAAAAGGGTGTTTGTCTTACTAGTGGGTCCAACATTACACACACCAAATCCATCTGTGCTTATATGAGAGAGTGTGAAGGACACCCTCTGCAGCGTTTACAGCGACACTTGTTGAGGAGCTGCCTTCTGTCGCCATCGTGTGGCATTACTGTCTTCAGACATCTCTTGATCTCTTTGACTACTTCACGAAAATAGTAATACGCCTCGCCGGTCTCGGCTGTGTTAAACCCACTCCACGCTCTCTCTCCTCCCTCGCTACGACGTACGCAGCTGGGAGGAGCTGAATTAGGGAGGGGGGATACTTACACCGGGCTGCGCCGCTCACCAAAATACCAAATAGTGCTTGGGAATGCCTTGTCGGCACGGCGGACCTGACTTACGCCGCGCTACGTCTCCGGTGAAGCACAAAAATAGAGCCCCATATCTCAGGTATGTTTCTCTTTCATTAAAGTGTTCAATTTAAAACAAACGCTGTTTAAATATAGTTTACAGCTTAAAGCAACCTAAATTATCCCAAATTGTAAAGTACAAGTATCAACCCAGTGTCTGTGAGGCTCAGCAGAAACACAGGATTATCTACGGTTGTCTGGAAACTTCAGACAAATATCGTGATCCGATTCATGAATGAACGTAGACCATCAAGGTACGGGAGATTCACAGGAGAAATGACAATACAGGAGGTGGGTGGGAGACACATCTGAAATATGGGAGTCCCGGGAAAAACGGAAGTGTTGGCAGGTATGGTATCAGTATACATATGTGCAGCTGAGCTCGTGATTGCAGAGTACTAGCATTAGCGAGCTATCGTTGGCAATCACCCAGCTGATTAATTAATGAGTTATCGGACAAATAAAAGCACAAAACTGCTTCAACTCTGCGCGTATGATGTTGCGTCCACTGTGGCATTTGCTTCACCATTGGCGAGTTATTTGATTGACAGGTCACTGCATGACTCCTTGAATGAAAGCAGTGCGATCTTGAAAATATGAACGAGGAAGGACACATCTACTGATTTAGAGGAGCTGCTCATAGATCATGCTAAAGTAGGTTTGAAATCGACCCCATTAGGTGGAGCTTGTTTGCTGTCCATGCCTCCACCGTTACCTGAAGCAGCCATTGTCAACATCATCATGCAATGCGTTGACGCTTTGTAGGCGATTACATCAACGAATCGCCCCAGCCCTACAATAATCACGTAAACGCACAATGGCGTCTAAGTCTATTCTCAAAGTCTATTCTCATCTGGTATTTCATGGATTTGTTCAAAACCAGAGGCTTTAAAGTTCTTTTTGATGAGGAAATGCAAATACCAAGCTGCAGAACATAAGAGTTTCAGAAAGAAAAACTAAAACAGCACAGCTCTCTTTTTACAGACTGACAAATCAGTGTGTCCAACAAGCAAATAGGTATGCAGATTCATGCATCAGACTGTTGTAAGTCAAGAGCTACTCAGCATGAAAGTAGTCAAAGTAAGTAGTTTGCCCTTTTTCTTGCACTGCAAGGTTGCCATAATTAGGGGTGTTTTTCACCATAAAGCAGCCAGTGTTATTATTCCAATTGGAGTGCTGAAAAATCACCCAGTAGCACTTTCTAGCGTTATGTGGAATAGGAAAAGGACAGGGAGCGAGAGCGAGGCTTATCTGAATGAAAAGCTCTTATCATCTTGTTTCTGCCTCTCGAAGCCAGCGCTGCATCCACAAGGTCAACAGCTAAATAAATGTCTTCAGGGGGGATGTTTGCCGGGTTTCTGTGGAAATCTTTGTCAATTATTCGCTTTTAACTTTGTCAAGTGACATTCCACCCTCTTACCTATCTGCTACACTCTCCTATAAACACAGACACAGATGCACACACCACTGTTTAATCATGCTTCTAACTCTTGAACCTTTGCAAATGTATTTCTCGTGTCTTTGGTTCATGTTTGATGTGCTTTTTATATATTTTTTTGTTCATCAAAGGACACACTTTTAGCTACTTGATTCTGTGGCAAAACAACAAGGACGGCAGCTCTGTTGTCTTTGATATCACCCGTGACTGCCACCTTTTGGGCCTTAATTTGTAGTAATGGTGATGCTTTACCCCCAAAAGACCAAACACTATTATGTCCAACCAACACCAGTGAGGAGAGCAGATAATAACCAGAGCTTGTGATTTCTCCAGTAAAACCAGTAATGGAGATCTGACTTTGTGAGGAACTTTAAGGCCTGGAAAGGTGAGCTTGAGTGTTTCAGCAAGTATTTTTAAATAAAATGTGTTAATGTTATTATCATGAAGGGACTTCTAATTTAGTTTGGTTAAAGCTTGCATGATCTGTTGTCATTGAGACATTTGACTAGAAGAACACTAACAAGAGATTCAATGTACAGTATATCTTCAAAACATTTGAGTTTGAATTGTTGCGGCTTTCATGAAGTTACAGTGCAACGGTCCAGTCTCCTAAGTTTCAGTTTCTACCCGGGTTACACAATTAATCAATTTTTAATTATAAATGGATTATTTTATTATGACAATGGCAATGTTATTACAATTATTACAAACATTATGACAATGTCAAAAAATTTTAATCGTCAAACCAATTGTCCTCTCTATCATGTCTTGTCATGTGGAATTGGTACGGCTTCACAGTTTTTTGATGAAGAGCAAACCACTCCCCGCTGCAAAGTCTGTCTGAAGGCAGTATCAACCTGTCCACACGGAAACAAATTCAGAGGTAAACACTGAAGTTTTTTGTCATATCAGCGTTTCATCTTGACGGCAATGGCGTTTCAGGTGACTGTTAACGGTAGCACACAATAAAACGGTGCATAAATGTGTAAATGACTACCATTCATCTCCGTGTGGATGCCTGACTGCATCTCTCTTGAAACGATTATGTGACACACAGCGTAACTCTTTTATGGCGCATGTGCGTGTCCGGCCAAAACAGCCTTTATACAAATGCTCTATACTCTTCTTCTGTCTTTTGTGCATTTCTTCGACAGCGTTACAGCGCCTCATACTGGCTTGGCATATGCACTCCATTATTTTTAGTGATTTAGTTTTGAAAGATGATACAAAAACTTAATATTAAAGTAAAGTAAAGTTGTCACTGAATAAAAATTGAAATCGAGTTTTCAGAAAAAAATCAGGATTTTATATTTGGCCAGAATCGTACAGCCCTAGTTTCTACCCAGGGTTTGAACTATTAACATTCTCATCAATCTACCACCACTCCTCCAGCATGCTAAAGATAGATATCCTCAAAGATACTTATAGACTCTCAGACACACAAAAGTATTTACAAAGCTGCATGGCTTTCAAAGTTTAGCTCAGTACCTCCCCTCCTTCAGCATAAAGACACATGAACACACATACCTACATACTCAGCTGTGCCTGTGTAAATACACACACACACACACACACACACACACACACACACACACACACACACACACACACACACACACACACACACACACACACACACACACACACACACACACACACAGAGAACACACTCTATTCTCAGTAATCTCTCCTTTTAGCGTCTCTTTTGTCCTATTATGTGGGGATTTTCCCTCTGATGGGAATTTCAGCAGCAGCCGCTCCAAGAGGCCGTCTAATTAGCCATAGATGGACGACTTCCAATACAAGTAAATGAGCAAAGATCTGCCAGTGAACAAATCATTTTAACCCTGACAAGAGAGAAGACAGCTCGCAGCGCTAATCACAATCACAGACAGCCGTGCCCCTTAAGAGTGAAAACACATCTGCTTAAGGCTGCATTTGCATTTAGGATTTATTAAAAAAAAAGCTTTCTTTTCGTGAGTTTGATGTGGTCTCTTTTCTTGGCTGTCCAAACAGGTTAGAAAGGCTGAGAGGGCTCTGCTCTGATTTCTGTTGCCTCTATGATAAATAAAGAAAAATTACATCTGAAAGAGTTTGATAAAATATTTAATGAAAAAAAAAAGAAAAAGAGAAGATAAATGAGTCAGTGACTGTTCCATCTAATATTCAAGTCAGTTACAGATTGAGTTACAGTGTGAGAATAAGAAAGTTTAATTTGTTTTGTTGGTTTCTAGAATCAGAATTTTATATCCAGGATGGCCAAATATGTTCATAAATTACAAGTGTGTTACTTAGGCTCAGCCACCAGTAAGTCTTTCATTCAGAGTCTCTTTTCTTGCCTTGCTTTGTCTCACCTAATGCTCACAACACCATCTGGTTGGTTAGATGTCACGTGACTGTGTAATGCAACTGTACAGTATGCATATTTGGTTAACTGTTTACTCTTGTATATGTATGTTAAATGTTTCTGATTTGGTTGATCAGTACCTGAATTCCTGTAAGCAAGTAAAAAAAAGATACTTCGCTGTATGTCTTGGATTTAACTTTAGGTTATGTTAACAGAGAAATTTCTGAAGACCCGAGGGCTTTAACCGGCTCATATGCTAAATGCAGATCAGATAAATAAGATGGGCCAAAGCCATTAAGAGCTTTAAAAACCAAAAAAAAAAACAACCTTAAAATCTATTCTAAAAGAAATCTAAAGACTGAAAAGCTAAGAGCTTGGGTGGTAGATTTTTAAATATTTAGTATAATGGATATTAGACAATTGTTTCTACAGCCCCTAAGGAAGCCTGTGGTTATTATATCCTAACCATTGATAGTTTTACCATTTGGTAACCTTGCTGTGCTGATTTTTAAGTGAACAGCATGTGCTAATATAACCATTCAGCATGGTCTGAGATGTGTGCCTGCGTAAGTTTTCAAGACCCAGGTTTCTGCCAGTAAACCAGGATTGAGTTTGATCATTCGTGCTTTCTTGGGTGCTGAAAATCCTCCTCTAAAAGTTGAGTTAAAGAGAATTAGCAGACTGTGGGCCATCAAAGTGATCCTTTAAGAGAACCAAAGGCTCTCACTGGTCCTTTGGCCCCTATTCACTACGCTAAAGCACTGTTTAATACCCCCCTCTCAACCTATATCCATCCATCTTTCGCTTTATTCCCCTTTCTCTCTGCCTGCTATTACACCCCTCTTTTGCTTTATGACTCACTCTTTCCCCCTGCTCATCCATTGCTATATCCTCTATTCATTCGTCCTTTGACCTCTGTCCATGACTCGGTCTGTGCATCCATGATGGAGTGTACAAAGCCCTGAATCTGGGGGATTACCTCAACAGATTTCCTCCACTCTCTTTTACTCTATTTTTCTCCCTTCACACTCTGTACTCTCTATTTCTCTCTCTTTTGACTTCTCTCAGCACTTATTTCTCTCTCTACCAGAATTTCATTTTCTCTCTTTCATCCCTTTGCCTTCTCGGCCATCGCTCCCTCCGTAAATATCCCACCTGGGTTCAAAAGGGGATTGTTTGCCTGATAGACAAGACACATAGCTTTTTGTTTACTCTCAGAGAGATGATCCATGCTGTGATGTGGAGGGCTTGTCTGTTGCTAAAACCATATCACAGAGGGCTTAGGCCTGGCACTCACCATGGGATTGTATAAATGTTGTGGTGCAATTCTTACACACACCTGTACATGTGAATCCTGTGGGAAAAACAAAACAAAACAACAAAAAACAAAACAAAAACAACAACTCACAAATGATGTGCTCACACTGCACAGTTTGATTGTTTAGTGCTTACACTGTATTGGTGATTCTCTTTACATTTTTCTATGGAAGTTAAGATAAGAGAATATGAAATCTTTGTGGTGTATGGCACAGGGCTTTAAAACCAGTCTATGACATTGCACAGACTAGTGGGGAGCAGTTGATCGGGTCATGATCTGGGGCCTGTTCTACGAAGCAAGTTCAACCTAGCGAGGTATCCTTGGAGCTACCTCGCTCAACTTAGCGCGATAGCCAGCCGTCTTGCTAAACGGTCTTACGACGCTGGTTATCAACCTCGTAAGTTGATCCAGCTTTGCTATGAGCGCATGCACACATGTAAGGCGGAGCCCGCCACACCTGACCAATCGCGAACATGGACCAGTCTGGAGCAACAGAGCGAAGGACCGCGTACTTTACAAACGAGGAGCAGGAGACGCTCATGAGAAAGTATGAAGAATTCAAATCTATTATAAATCTCAAAAGCAACACTATCGCCGCTGCAAAAGCGAGGAGGGAATGCTGGCAGAAAATTAATCTTTGATGCCATTGTCACCCTGAAATAGCACTGTTCAACATGTGCTTTTAACTAAGGTGACCAGACGTCCCCAATTTCCAGGGACAGTCCCCGAATTGGATGATCTGTCCCCGGCTAAAGCTGTCCCCGAAAATGTCCCAGATTTAAGCGTTTCATGAATGAGAACAAAAATGTTGCTTACCCTCGAAGTTACCTCGCTAAGCAGTTATCCTGCTTCATAGAACAGGCCCCTGATTGTGCCCCCTATACACAACATGGTAAACAACAAGCATGCTGAAATTTGACCCTTAAATGAAGCATGTGACTCATAAATCAGATTCAAGTCATGTTGGAATCAACTTTACAGTGAATGCTTCAGTTTTTCTGCAGAGAAAAAGAAATGCAATTCAAATAAGTAAGATACCCTGGTATAAAGCCTTATTTACATAAATGTGAACCGCAGACTCCACTTGAGTCAGCTTGAAATTTTAAAAATGAGTCCTGTCCTGCTAACGACCCTGTACACAGTCACTCTCCATTTCTCGATCAGGAGAGAACTTTTAAGGATCTCTCTGGGTGCTGTTCATGACAGTTGTATGTTTTAAATGTGCATATAATCAGGAATAGTCAAGGACCCACTCTGATTGTTTTTTGTTTTTTTTCACTACTAAAAGTGTTCTCTGTGTCTTTAAATTGTGATATGAAGTTTTTAGCCAAAATCACGTTACCTGTGTCATTTTCAAGGACTTTCCTCTGCAGAGCTCCAGTAGCTCATTAGCATTTCACCTCTGAGTCGTGGGCAGAGACAGCGCTGCTCTACACACTCCTCTTCACGCTTGCTTGTAGCCTAACATTGCAGGTGTAGTAGAAGTGGCAGGTGACATAGGAGCTATTTAGTTCTCAGACACTAATGTCTTTAGGGGACATGATGAAATTAAGTATCATAATCAGCTTCGCAATCTGCTATTGCACACACTTGTTTCGCCATTGTCCTCTCTACTTCTTGGAGTCTGGCCTGCAGAGCGGTGGTCTGAACATGGACTTGTGACGTAGAAAATCCCACAGTGTCTGAACCTGTCAAGGTTCACAGCGATTTGAATAAAGAAATACTCACAAATTTTTCTATTTCTATTTTATTTTTCTATTTCTATTTTTTCTCTTAGTTTTTTCATGATATTGTGTTGTGTTGTTTCCCCCCTCCTGTGCCCTCCAAACATTTTCCTCTCTGACACACCAAAATACTCCCACTCAGGTGACTTTCTGGAGCTTGATATTGAGTTGTGTAAATTTAAACTGTGTGTGCACAAGTTAAGTTGTGCATTGCTTTAAAAACTGCATCTGTAGGAGTTTTCACATCTGCTGAAACGGATGATTAACCTTTCTGAACAACTGCTCCTAATATTATGTCAATAATGTTGTGCTATTCTGCATTTGAGTCAGCAAGAGTCATGGTGCAAGGTTTGACTTTTAAAATCAGGCAGTCTACTAAGCCATAAAAACTACTGGATTTTCTCAATAACTGTCCTCCAAACATTTAGAGTATGCTGTAAAGGGTTAAATAATTTTGCGTGGTCTCATGAAGCCAGTCTAGTTTTACAAAAACTATTCTAAAATGTTAATTCATTCTTGTTCTTAGTGATAAAGTTGTTTATATTGTTGATAACTGGGTTCAACGGTGATGTATAAATTAGTGTCCATTGTCTATATATCTTAGAACAAAGTCCTAAATAACAAGACACTCTCAAAACAAAATCTAAATAAATAAAAATAACAGCCCTACAGATTAATATGAAAAGCAGTCAAAGGCTCATTGCCAACACTGAGATGAAAAATATTGTTACTATGGTAAGCATTGCTCTAGAACTCAATTTAGTATTTTGATAGAAAACAGTTTTGACAGGAAGGAGATTTCGATTTCTGCTTGCATTCAGTCTGTATGTGCATCAAGGGTTTGAGTTTAAACTGGCTGTTTGTTGATATCCACCCACCAGCCAAAGCAGACAAAGTCAGACTGCCAGGCTTTCAGTCTCCTGGCTCTCAACATTAAATAAGTCTGGAGTTGTAGAAATCTATTAAACTGTAAAGTGTTTGAAATTTACCCAGGGAAATGAAAGGACCAGGACTTTGATGGATGTAATCTGGAGGTTGGTTCTTCAACAGCTTCTCTCATCTCAAAATGTATTCAAAATCTGTCTTTGGTGTGTAGTTGATGGAAAATTCAACAGCAGCCAGGATTTTCCACTGTGAGAGATTGAAGCGAAGACCAAAGACAGCCCAGCATGTGGTGCTTTCATCCAGCCAGGTATGGGCAGGGTTTATGATGAATTTTGGTTTCAGCGCTGTCAATCTCTGCGACAGCATATTTGATGTCAAATCCATCCAGAGCACATACCCCTTCAGCTTTGTCTTTGGAAACTTAGAAAATGAAAAAGAAGATTGGTTGTGATAGGCCCCAAAGGGAAAAAAGAATATATTTTGTATGTATATTGAGTAGAAAACACAACCATCAGTGCAAGCGGGACAACAGCTACTGAACAAACTTAAATGATTAATCAGGACATGTGGCTAGAGGCTGTCGTGAATAAATATTGCTTTTACCATCATCACTTTTTACTGTCTAAAGCACAATCATAATAGATAAACACACACTCTCTCTCAAACACCTGTTTACATTGAATTTCACAGCTTGTTGTTGTACAAGAATTGGCCAAAGATATATCCACACTTAAAACACTCCCTCCTCATTGGCCCTGATAAGGACGGATTCGATAAATAATTAAATAATCATGGGACTACTATGCTAGCTATGATTGGTGGAGATGGTGGTGTTACAGTTTCTCTCATCCCTTGTCCTTCCCACTTGTATATGTTCACAAGGCTGACCTCCCACAACCATTATTACACTATGTGTTCTTCCAAAAGCAGACATACAGCCAACACAGTGTGTGGCCATGAATCAAACTGAGTTTCAAGGCAGGGGATCTGGCAGCTCCTGCAACGCAGTAAGTACTGGTTGGTAGTTTTATAAACACTGTACACATTGTCTCAGGTCTTCCGTTCTGGGAGTAAACTAGGTGACTTCAGTGGAGACACCACAGCATTGAAGACGTGCTGTTGTGGTATGCAAGAACTGTCTTACAGTACATACACGTAATGATGTTCAACTTGATTTCCAGCTTAAAATGTCCCACACTTTCAACATTTTCTGTCTTAGTGCCTTCACTTTTATCGTCATCATGTCTTTCCTCCATCTTCCGGCTGCTAAAAATCAAACACGTCTGCTCCCTCCTCCCTAAAAACATGAAACCTGAGTGCTTGGATTTTATCTTTGAAATGTCTACCAACTAATCATGATTTTCTTCTTTAAGCGGTGCCTTAAACTTCACCAGAGTGGTTCTAATATGATTTTAGGATGATTGAAAGCATGTCCAAGAAGGGACCTCAAAAATGTCCTCCGCCTGCTGGCAAGTCCACTGATGTTGAATGTGTAATGACTGGGAGGCCCACTCTTGGATTGGTGTGCCAGTACACACACACAGAAACACATACACAAATACTGGCAAGGGCAAGCACGAGATTCAAAGGTACCCCCCCAACAGACACATAGTGATTTCTAATGTTAATTTTGCATATGTTGGCGTTGGCTGTGATCGATGGATGTTAATGGTCCTAATGGTTATAAATACATTAGCACCAAGATCCAATCAAGGAGACATGTGGACAAGTGCACACACACACACACACACACACACACACACACACAAAATCTCCCCTCTAATGGTAATCGAGTTTGGAGAGAGACAGGCGCTGCATTCTTCCGATTCAATTTCCTGTTGGGTTTGATTTCATTACAAAGTCATGAGCCGCCATGTTAACAGACTCACGTGCCAGTGCTCCATCATGTATGGGGAAAAGAGTGGAATAATTTTTCAAGTGGGAGCAGATCCTACAATCATTAAGAGTAGCTCTGTGTAATGATTCATCAGCACAAATGGAAAAATCTGTGAAAAAGCTATCAATAAATTCTAAGGTTGAATTAATGTACAGTCATGTTTCCTCAGCTTGTAATTCAGTGTAGAAAGTCCCATGGTGCACTTGTCATGGTGCGTTGAGAGGACAGTTTTCTTGCTTTAGACTGTGTGATCCAATCTAGTAGTAAGGAGCATGTGACATATCACAAAGTATTTGTAGAGCCAACTGTTTGACTGACATAGGACTATGGGCTCTATTTTCATGCCTCGCCAGCGGCGTGGCGCAGGTGCGGCGTAAGTCAGGTCTGCCGCGCCGATACGGTGTGCCCAAGCACATTTTGGTATTTTGGAGAGCGGAGCAGCCCGGCATAAGTATCCCCCCTCCCTAACTCAGCTCCTTCCAGCGGCGCAAGTGGTTGAGAGGGAGGAGAGAAGGCGTGGAATGGGTTTAACACAGCTGAGACCTGTATTCACCAATCACCTCAGCTCCTCTCCTCTCCTTAATTTAATTCAATGCGGTTTCAGCTGTTTTAATTTGGTCAGGTTGAGTGTCTAAACGTGTGCCAAACATGCTCATCAGATCAGATATAGATCAGAATATATCTATAGATCTAAATGTTGCTGACTCAGAATATTGGTTGTTGTTATTTATTGCACTGAAATGTGCCTCACAGTGTGGAAACCTGCTGGTGAGGCATCGGTGATGTATGGGCATTACGCCGCTGATCTACCAAAATACCACCAGACCAGCTGCGCTTTGCCTGCGCTGAAAGCTGACCAGTTTTTAATCAGCGAGCTTTCAGTGCACTTTCTACGCCGCTGGTAAGCACAAAAATGTCACTGCGCTAGCTGATTTTGTTGACTCCTACCACGCCACTGCGCCCGGCTTAGCGGACCTCGGTGCGCCTCATTCTACGAAAATACCACTGTGCAGGGTGCGCCACCCTCTGCCACGCCACCGGCATAAAAATAAAGCCCTATGTGTCAGTAGTCAACATGTTTCGTATCTGCTGGGGTGTAAGCTACAAGAACAGTAAAGTAAAAATGCCCAGCTTGGGGTGGCATTGAGGCCGTCTGAATGTTACACCTCCAGGACAGGACACAAATAACAAATTGTCAATCAGGCAGCCAAGTCAGTTAGATCAACCTGTGTTGTTTAAAGGATGAGAATCAGTGGTGATCTACACTATAAAGATGGATGCAAGTAACTCTCTGGTTTCAAGTGATGTGGTAAATAAGTTTTTCGTTATTTTATATCAATAACTATTGTTTATAGCTCCATTCTTACATATTAGATTACACAAGCTGACATTAGATAAACATTATGCTCAGCCAACATTGCAAACATACAATGAATTATTAGGTCCACAGAATAAAAAAAAGATTTTTTCAAGTTAAGTTCTTATGATAATTAAGTCTTAGTAAAATTGTTTTCCAACAAGAATAAAGTCATAATGAGGTTATACTATGAAAAATAAAGTCACAGGAAAGTCATAATATTACAAGAATAAAGTCATCCTGTCATTAGATAGAAGCAATACTGTCTTTAATAAACAACCTAAAAACCCTCCCTGATAACTCATGACCACTGATGTTAATGTGAACGTGAAGTGATATCTTGATTATGGCAAGTCGCGCTTGTGTTGAGGCATAAGGTGCGCTTTACGCACCGGCAGCGCTACATAATATTGGAATTACGACACCGTGAGCTCAACAATCTCACGGTGTCGCCACCATGACTTTATTTCACTGCGATGACGTTATATACGGTATACCACGGAAAGCCTACTCACTACATTGTTTTAAGTTCAGGACTCTGAAAAAACTGAGACTTGTGGAATCCCCCATCAATAAAGCATTATGTGGCAAATGTACATAAATATAGTAGTTATTGGATGATGAGTTTTATTATTATTATTTTTTTTTTTTGGCGAAAAGTATGTGTCACAGTTATGACTCTCCGTTTTCAAGAAAATTCTATCAATACAAATTCATTTGCACTCACCAACAACTGATCTCACTCTGTCCTCTTGTGTGCCTTGTGCAACCATTCTGTAGTTAACAAAACACACGTGGCTCCTGCTAGTTTGTCCATTCTGAGATACTGTAGAAAACATTGTACTGAAACATGGTGGCACACTAAGCAAGAACACCGCACTTCTATAGAATGAAAGATCCTAAATCATACGAAATGAAGTGAAATCCATTCAGCACAAATTAATGTAATCCTACTTCTTGCATAACATTTTAAATTCTTTGTAAAAATGCTAAATTCTATTCTATGTACCTATGAGATTAACACAAGGGTTAGATTATTCTAGAAAGTTTACTTTTTTTATAAAACCTGAATTATGATTGTTAGTTAATATAGAGTTAAGTTTGAATAACAACCCAAGAAAGATTCATTATTTCTATTCCAAGCAAGTTGGGAAACATTAAATTCATGATTAATGCAAATTATACGGTCAAGTTATACACTCAGGCGGCAGCCAGTTAAAGAACATTCATGGTAAAATAATAAGGAATAATGGCTTCACAATAAAATGACTTTACTGTGGCTTCATTAAGACCTACAGGCAAACTGTGAGGCTCGCTTGCAGCAAAGTAATTTCAGTGTGCGGCAGTTCATTTCTTATTTCCTAACACTGTTTAATTCTAGTTGTAAAAGGTCAGTGCATTCTTGTGATGGTAACAAAAAGGGAAAGTAATGACTTACCCCTGAAGTATTCATAATAACAGCTGATCTCATTTTGTGATGGACATCCTTTTTATGACAGAGGAAAGCAACAATAGTCAGAAAAGAACTCATATAGATGAGTTTTCAGCTTTTAAAACACATAAGTAATTCTTTTACTCAAATATTAATCCAGCATTTTCAAATTTGGATCACTAAGGCACTGCTGTATATAAAAAAACATTTTTTCCCTCCCCCTTCCCTTCTGCCTCAAAGCTGGATTTTTAATATCAGACTTTTGTTTGCATATGTAATGCCATCTAAGCTCATTGTGGAGAGTCAGATTAATTTCTGAGGCAGAAATGGGGCTTGCATTCTATGAGAGAGCAGAAGGGAGCAGAAAAGGAGATAAAGGAGGAGGGAAACAAAGGCGACGTAAACAAATAAGATGACAGACGTGCCACGGGACAGAGACAGGCATTATCAGAGGAGTATTACTGTACCTCACAGGCTTACAGGCACACAGCTCTCACAGCTCTGCTTATTGATTGAAACACAAACTGAGCTCTGTGCTAAAAAGAAAAGGTCAGATTATACAACTTCTGGTTTAGAGGGCAAATGCATCGCATCCAAAAGTATGCTGAAAATGTCAGGATATCTTCCCCACTCCACAGCATTTGTTAAAGGGATGTTTTTTCCACAGCAGATACATGGTTGTGTTTTCTTACAAGTGGCAGAAATGGAACAAAACATTCATTCATCAAAAAGAATGTGAAAAGTATGAACATTAAGCGACAAAGAAAACCTTTAGGGAGGGTACCTTTATCTTGAAACAGACATTTTCAGCTGTCTGTTAATATGTTTATATTTGCTTTATTTCAGACAGTCATGTGGATTAAATCTGTCATGTACGGATTTTGGTTCAATAGTTGCTTTCTATTAGTATGTAATTTTAACCATTCAAGTAACTATTCATGGTGGTTGCGTTATCTAACTTGTATGCCTTAGATATTTTGGTACTAGACTTAAGTCCCTTAGTAGTGCCACGTGTCTCAGGGAGCAATGACGACCTTTTACACCTTTTCAACTTTACCCAAGCTCCTAAAATATGTTGTGTTGTTATTCTGTATGGACTCTTAATACTTTCTGTATGAGGTCAGCAGAATGTCTAACAGAGTGAACAGCATAGACATTATATAATTTTTTTTTTTTTTTTTTTTTTTGAATGAAATACAAATCTGCACCTTTATTCTGAAGAAATAAGAACAAGCTTTTCCTTTTCACTTCATTCTTAATACCTCTGACATTAACAGAAAAAAATAGAAGTCGTCGCACACATACACACACACACACACACACACACACACACACACTCACACACACACACACACACACACACACACACACACACACACACACACACACACACAAGCACCCGCTCAAAAAACCTCACTGGGTTGAGAGCAGACACTGAGGGTTGGCTACTGCAAGCAGACCAGACCACTTCCAAACTTAACTGAGATAGTTTAGTTTACCTCTCTTCATTAGTGCTTCATCACTCTATAAAGGATATAAAGGAGAGAAAAGAAAAAAAGAAAAAAAAAAAAAGGAAAAAAGAGAGGGGCATTGCCTCGGAGGACTGATCGAAAAAAAAGTTCATACTTCGATTCATTATTTCAATTATTTTAGCACGAGAGAGCTGTAATATAGGGAAAAAATAAATAAATTGATAATAACTGAACTAATGTAGTGGCTGTTGTTGAGAAATAAACAAAGAAAAAATAATAGATTAAATTTCAAATAAACATTTTGTCAGCCATATCGTAGAAGAGGTTGGGAGCACCGAGTTTTCCATAAGCAAAGGTCACCTTTGTCAGAGACAACCTAAACAAAAGTCTCACGGATATATAACAACTTAAATCTGTACCTTACATGTCCTTTGCTGTGATTCTTACGCCGTCAACGTATGCATGTGCTCCTCTGAAGCCAGCTTTCTTCCCTTCTTTCCTCGCTTTCTCCACTTGCGGCCACAGCTGGTTTCTGGCCTCCTTGGCTTCTTGAGTGAGGTCCTCCAGGATCTTTAATTTTCTTGTTTGGGGAGTCTCCGATGTCCTGGCGTCCTTCCAGATTTTATCTCGGTGTGATCGTGACAGAAAGCGTAATATGACGCGCCGGCTGGAGCGCTCGTGTCCGGAGCGAGGTCCCACTCTGTGCACGATATCCACCGTAAGAACCAGCTGATCCGCGATGTCAGGGGAGATTTGGCCGAACAGGTCAATGATGATTTTCTTAATGTCCTCCCCGGTCCTCTCAGGTATCCCGGCGACGCGCAGGTTCCACCGTCTCGAGTAGGCATCCATGTCGTTGAATTTGCTCCGGAGCTCCGTGCTTGCTTTCCCCAGGGTTGAGGTTTCAGCTTGGAGGGTGGTCACCTGGCCAGACATGTCTTCCATCCGCCCCCACAGAGCCTCCAGGGAGTCAGTGACGTTTTTCGTTGTTTTAGTGTTTTCTTTTACAGCATCTTCCAAGGTTTCGAGCCGCTTAAGAGTCTCGATTTGTCTCTTCTCAATTCTCTCAAGGATGCTTAACGACCTCTGGTCAGAGTCCTCCACCACATCACTCTGCGTTTTTTTGCTTTTCTTTGATTTTGGGACTTCAGGTACCTGTTCAGAAATCGGTTCTTTTCCCGCAGCAATAAGATTGTCCATGACCTCAAGTTGGTCAGTCAAACAGCTTCGTGCATAAGAGTGCATCGTATTAATAAGGTTTCTTTTGTCCATTACCTTCCGTGTGATGAAACTTGACTTACTCTGTGTCCCAGCGCGAGGCAGAAAAGTTTGTAACGCACGTGGAGGCGGCGTTCCTCCGCGGTTTGTCTTGCGGCTTCCTTCAAGTCTCTCCTTTCAATGCCTGAGCAGGTTTAATTATGCCTCAGTGTCGAGGCTTTTTTGTTCCAGAGAGGTAAGTCTTTTTAAGGTTCTTTTTAAGTTCTTCTGGTCATACTGCAGTGCCACTCGGACCACTGTCTTAGGACGTCATGTCTCTCCCTGCCTCTTTTTCCGTTCCGCCTACCGCCTGTATCAGACATTATATAAGTAGACGCCTCATTACGTGCTGGAGAGCTATCCAGCGTCACTGTCGTATTGGATGTGTCTTCCCACTCCAGGTCCGCTCAAGAGCCAAAAGGGGCAATGGAGAACGAGCAATTATGCCCATTTTTTGCACTCTATGATTGAAAAACCTGACGCAGTATTGAAACCAGATCATGTAGGATCACATTTCACAAATAGGATTGAAAAATATATGTATTTTATTTTTAATGTGTAACATTGTCCTGTATTATGGCTACATCCCTGCCGTTGTAACAAACCAAACAGTGTGAAAATCAGGCAGAGATTCAGAGAGTTATTATCAATATGGTTGGGCATTCCTACCTACCTAATGCACTGGAGGTGCACAGGGAACCCATCCAAGATGGCGGCCACGCCGATAGAAGTACCTGAAGACCTCTGGTGTAGATTGCTAGGTTACAGGTAAAACAGCTAGCTTCATTTTAGCTAGCTTTATTTTAAACTTTAGCTAGAGCCGGCAAGGGGTGATTTTGATTTTGTTGGGGGGGGCTGCAGTACCTGAAGCAAAGCAAAGTAATTTGCAAAGCTGATTAGCCAAGTCACCAAAATGAAATAAAATATAAAATAAAAATAAATAAAAAATATATATTATTGTGCTTTTTTTTTCTTTTTCCAGAGTATGGCTGTCCGCAGATTTATAGATGCTGAGATGGTCGTAGCAACGCTGCAGGAAGAAGCAGATGAGGAAGATGAGGAGGCAATTTTTCCTAATTCAGAGTCTGAGGTTTCTGATGATGCCACAGGGTCAAGTTGAATGTGTGTCTGGGAATTCATCTCTTCTACATGAAGAAGACTCCTTTGATAATACGAGAGGAAAACTCAGACCCAGTCCAGCAGACTGAGTAAAAAGGGATTTTACTGGGATGAGAATCCCCCCACTCATGGTGGAACCAGCAGCCATAACATTCTCAGGAGCTGCCCAGGACCTACACCTGGAGCAACAGCTGTTTCACCAAAAGATGCCTGGTAAATGTTCATGAGTGACAACATCATTGAGGAGGTTCTAAAATGCACCAACTTGGAGGGATGACAAACAGCAAAAGGGAAAGAGTGGAGGGGGGGAGAAGAGCTGGGATGTGGCCTTACGGGAGCTGTTTCTGGATCCCCTGCAGAATCCACTTTACAAAGCCACCATGGGGCTGAGGAGATATGAAGATATCCGCCGCGCCATACACTTTGACGACAAGAGGACCAGGGCTCTGCGACTGGACACAGACCGCATGGCAGCATTTAGATATGTGTGGGACTGTTTCCTGGCAAACTGCAGAAAATGGTTCACCCCCAGTGACTGTGTCACCATAGAGGAGCAGCTTGTACCTTTCTGAGGCAGGTGCAAGTTCCAGCAATATATGCCAAGCAAGCCTGCAAAATATGGGATTTAAATTTTCTGGATGTGCAATGCTAGGGTACCTTACGCAATAGATGGAACTGTCTATACAGGAAGACAGCCAGGACAGGAAGTTCAGAGGAACTTGGGAGAGAACGTTGTCCAACAATTGTGCAGCGGAATCAGACACACAGGTGAATATACAGTACAATAAAGAAATTAATGTATAAGTTTGAGCACAATACCTACATAATTTTCGCTATTTCATGTGGATTTTATTTTTTTTACTTGATTTCTCTCTAAGACAAATAGTAGAATAGAATAAAATGCAATGCAGTTCAACAGATTTATGTGTTAGAATTTAGAATTCGATTTCAATATATACAGTCTTTTCCCCTCTCATAGGTGGCAACATCACAATGGACAACTTCTTCACCAGTGTCCCTCTTGCTGAGAAGCTCCTTGAGAAGAATCTGACCATTGTTGGGACTCTTCTCCAGATTAAGCCGGACATACCACCTATCATGAAGCCATCCAAATCACAGGGAGATTTATAGCTCCGAATTCGGATTCAATGGCAAAATGACCATGGTGAGCTATGTGCAGAAGAAGGGAAAGGCTGTTGTCCTCCTGAGCACCATGCATGATGACAAAGCAGTGGATCACAGCAGTGAGAAGAAGAAACCAGAAGTGATCCAGTGCTACAACAAAACAAAAGGAGAAGTGGACACAATGGATCAGATGGTTACCAACTACTCATGTCGTCGGAGAACACGGAGGTGGCCAATGGTTGTCTGGTACAATATGCTGGATGTTGCCACCCTCAATGCCTACACCAGCTTCACCGCACAACAGCCTGATTATATGGGTGGTGTAAACAATGCACGTCGGCTGTTCATCAAGGAGCTGAGCAAAGAGCTTGTCATGCCACATATGAAGAGGCGCATGGAGAGCACACCCACACTCCGAAAGCATGCTATCGAGGCAATGGGAAGATGTGGATTAAAAAGACTAAACACAGCCACCACCCAGCAGCAAGACGACATCAGACAGGAGGTCCAAAGCAAGAGAAAGAGGTGCACGATCTGTCCAGTTTCGAAAGACAGAAAAGCCACCAGCTGCTGTTCCCAGTGCACCAGGCCTGTGTGCAAAGAGCACAAACACCAAATAATAATTTGTGAGGCATGTAAAGATTGAGATTGAAATTTGTGTTGTCATGTGTCACATTTCACCACTTGTACTTATAGTCGTACTAATACAGTTGAGTTCAATATCTGTGTTATGTTATCAGACGCATGTGTATGTGACAAAATGACAAATAAACATGTTGCTAATACAAAATACATAAGTGTTTGGCCCCACTCACTGCTAATTTCATTACTTGAAACTAATTATTATTATAGTATTAGGTAATTTAATTTTAAATCACACTGGGATGAATGGGTCATTTTTGACCCATGTGTGTAAACTTGATGTAATAATATAGAAACTATATTAGTTCATAAAGTATGAAAAGCAAAATAATTATAATGATCAGGGGTGATCAAAAACAAGATATTTAAAGAATACTTGGAATATTCAATCAGAAAATAAACTTATTTCAAAAGATAGAACAAAGAAAAACTCAGCCAGCATGAAATACCATTGGAAATGAATGCGGGTCTTTTTAGACCCATGTTGCGCATTAGAGGGGGTGTCCATATGTTGTGCATCAAAGGGCTAGGGCTGGGTGATATGTGAAAAAGTTTATCACAATATATATTTTTTCCATATCAGTCTATCGATATACATCACTATATTAAAAAAAAAAAAACTTATCAATCTTACATTTTCCCTGTTACTCTTAAATTATATTTAACAGTGCTTATTAGTAGCATGTCTTTTGCAACACAATAAGCTACTGCATCTGTGAGGTCTTTGTGTCTCTTTGATGTTTTGTCGCAAGGCGTTGCGCGAGAGAAAGCGGACTGAATGGTCGTCTGTTTTGGCTGCACAGGCGCCATAGGCTGCTTCGTACCTTTAACCTTTTGCATTGCAGGTGCTCTTCTGCGTGGCGCTACTAACTATCAAAAAGCATATTGACCACGTTTTATATTGAGGGAGGGAAATTAATTTTTGATATGTATTGTTGTAGTTTTATTGCCCATCCCTAGATGTAACCCAGATCTGCAACCAGTAAACTTTATAAAACTGATCATCCTCATTGACCTTCCATTCTTTGAGCATGCGCCATGGCTGGGCATCCTTCACATTTCAGGAATAAGCTAATCAAATATACTTTTGCTTAAACTAAGTCTGTTTTGTCAGAGTGCTACATTTGCCAAAAGTTTTTCATTTTTACAGTCAATGTGTATTGTTCCCAAATACCAGTAATCAGTCTCATTGACAACCAATAAGCAATTTCCAAACTGATTCTAAAGAAGCTAGAATGTTTCTGTTTCACAGACATCAGTGTAAAAAATTAAAGACAGAGATTGTGCTTATAAATCAGCCTTTTTGAAGTGAGTGAAAAAAGAAAAAACATTTGTTTCTTTGCAGAACATACATAGTGTGCATGTTGTGTATGTACAGGGCTACAGTGTTGATATGTTTCTCGTAGAGACTGAATCCTGTGCCTAAGGCATTAATCATGTTTATTATAAAGCATTAAACATTAATCATGTTTAGTATGACTCAAACATGGAATCGGGATCTTAGGATGCAATTCAGCTGAGTTAATAACAGCTCCTGGATTCATAAACAAGAAAGCCGGAAGTTGCACAAAAGGTCAGTGGGGTGAAACTGCACTGCAGTGTTCAGTCAGACTCCAAACCTTTGTCTGGTCTTTCATTCATTTGTCATTTTATGAGCCTCGATTCTTTGTGTCTGTTTTCTTTGTCTTTAAAAAATGTAGAAAAGTATGTTAATGTAACTTTACATCATACATGAAAGTTCAGGCTCACCTCTCTCAAGTGTACTTTTACTTGTTATTGTACACGAGTACAAACTCACAAAGGGAGGATGAATTACTCACTGAAAAGGTGAACATCGGTAATGTTTCCAAACACTTTGAGGTCAGGTAAATTAAGTCTTCTGAAAAGCTCCGATCTCACTGCGTAGTTCTTCATAGCACTAAGACAGCTCTTCTTTAAGTGATGGATGACTCTGCTGGTGTTGCAATACATCTTAATACAGCCTTTGACAATGTTGATCATTCCCTCCTACCTGTCTATCAGTTGTCTCATACTCTGACTCGGGGGCTCAGATATTCACCTGAAACGACTCTGAGGGTGTCTGCAAACCTTTACCTCCATTTACCTCCTTTATTTTTTTTTTTTTTTCATTTTTTTTTTCAATAAGCCACACCAAACTGCTAAACGTTTGATCTGTTGTACTCCAAGAAATAGATCATCTGATAAGGTTTGTGAGCTAAAATAACTCAGTGATTGTGTTCCTTTAACATTCCCTTTACCTCATAAATGGCTCTCATGTTGCAGCCTAAACCTAATAATCAGGCAGAATAGTATTCTATGTTTATTGTTTTTTGTATAGAATTACAAATTTAAGTGTAAAGTGTAAATAAGCTTCCATGCTTTACTTAAAGGCGAGAAAACAAAGCCTCAGAGATACCAATTTTGAAGTTTTTTTTTTTTTTCCACATGAAGACAAAAGATGGTTTTGGTTGCCTGTTGATACTTTTCATATTAGCATGATGTTATCAACAGTCTCATGTTGTTGCTTTTGTTTAAAATGAATTTAAAGATGAGGTCTCTAGAAGTATTTCCTTTCTAGTCAGCCAAACATGCTCTTCACAATGAACAATGATCCTGTCTCATGTAACACAGCAACAATTCCAGCTAAGTTGATGAAACACAGCATCCCTTTCTACACTGAACATAACAGTAGGAAAACAATCTTTTTTTTTTTTCTTCTCTTATATACGGCCTTGATATCTGAAATTAATTTGACTTATGGCTTACTGTATAGTACATGAGCAGCCCAGCAGTTACTGACAAATTAGATCTTCTCAAGTTGTTTAGCATGCTTGCTTTATTGCTTATTTTTGTTTGTGAGATTAACATCTAATTTCATGGTTGGTGAGTATAATTCATATTTATGAGAAATGGAAACATGTTTACATGTTGTGTGTCTGATAAAAAAAGTCCTTTTGTTTTTCACACCAGCAGTTTAATAGCACCATAAGTTGCATAGCTGGGACATTAAAGAGGTGATATTCTCCCGATTTTATCACTAATAAAGATATTTTTGCAACATCCACTGATAATGTCACATGTCAAAAAAAAAAAAAAAAACTAGTGGGAAACGGAAAAGTTGGCAGATATCACTATTTCCATAAAAAAAAAAAAACACTAAGTGTCAAATTTCAAAATAAAGAATTGCTGAAACATGGATCTTCATATTTTCTTGTCATGAGTCTGTCTAACTGAGCAACAGTCCTTCCTGCGGAAACTCCAGCTGTGATTTGGCAGAGTTCACTCTACGCTCCGAACAACATGGGTTTGGATTTGCCTCAATAAGTTCAGTGCTTGACACACTCCCATCCTCTTCCAGCAACCATCCGACAGAAGGCAGCCAGCGGGTGGTGGCCAAGTTCACAATCATCCCAGTCACCAAGTGGGGGATTTTCATGCTGATAAGATGATGAAAAGGATGGGAGAGGGTAGATTTATCCTGCATCACTCTTATACATCACCATTTTGATGTGTTATTCCAAGAATAAGTCATATAAAGTACTTTTTGATGTCCCTCCATTGTCTATTTCTTCCTTGAATTAGTCATTTCCTGCATTTCTCAGCATGGCTTAGAACTACTCCTGAAAATTGATGACTGATTTTTCCATTTCACCTTGAATTATGCGTGTTTGTGGGAGAGGAAATTGGACAACACAGCTGGAGAAGGTAACAGGACATAGGTTGACAGTGGCATCTCTGTGAGGAGGGAAAACCAGTCTTTTTTTTCTGGACTTATTCCACTATGATTTATTTAGCACATATAATACAGAATCACATTGTGTGTGTGCAGATGCTTGAAGTTGCAGTTAGGTACGCCCCGATACAATATTGATATCCAGCATGCCGAGCCCATGTAACTACAACAACAGTGTGTACTAAGTAGGGCCTGACCGATATGGAAAAAATCTGATTACCGATTAATTGGCTGATTTTTTAAAATTTTTATGAAGTTATAAAATATATATATATATAAACTGTAGATATCTACAGTATACTATATACTGTAGGCTACTGCTCTTCACGCCGACAGGAAGACCGACTGATCAAACTTGGACTAGAAAAGTGTTTTCAAATGGCTCTGTTTTTTTCCCCAAAACACCCCAAACTGTTGGATAAATAATTGAATACATTCTTTACAGCTTCACAAAACTTTGCTGGCATCAGAGAAAGAAAACAGGAATAAGTACTTTTGCACATGTTTATTTGTCATCAAGATCAGGGCAAGCTGATTTCACCGCAAATGTTAGACACAGTAACTACAGTCTCCATTTGATCTTCTCTGCGTCCCTATAAGTGATGGAATAACAACATAATACCAACAGTAAGTATTAAAATAAGACAAAGAGAATGCAATAAGTGAGTCATCTTAGCCTGGCCACTTGATGAATCCCAGTTCATAAATGTTGTTTCTCCTCAGGAACGCGGCAATAACAGGGCTGTTTGGCTTTTACTGCCGGCAATAACTTTGAAAAGCCACAACAGAGAGGCCCAACACACTGGCTGTGGGAGAGAGCTCCAATTCACATGCAGCAATGACAGAAATATTTAATTTGCATGCATTTTTATCCAAGCTAAGAAAAGACAGGTGAGGGGGCAGACAGAAAGAAGAAAGGTTTGGGGGAGGGAGATGGGGAACAGAATGTGCCCTGCTTCATTTAAGCCAACTTTTGCGTGAGTGTGTGTGTGTGTGTGTGTGTGTGTGTGTGTGTGTGTGTGTGAGAGAAGAGGATGGAATTGGTTTGTGTCTAATTAAAGCCATAGATGGTGCCGAGACAGACCAAATTTACTGGACAGGGAGCAGCAGGCAGCCAAGAGTGTGAGACTGAAAATATAAAGTCAAAAAATATTCAAGGCCTTCATTAACTCAGGCGCATAGTCTCAAATGGCCCAGTGTGAGGTACAATCTGGTTTGTTGCTTGTATTTTTCTCTCTAAATTTTGCAGAAGAGGTTTTGCTATGCTAATG